ACCCTTTTAGTTACGGTGAAAATGCAAACGTTGAGCATTTTAATAAAGTTGCATTACAACCTGCATTTACTCGTGTCCCCCGAAATACCCTAAGACGTTATACACAAACTTCTTATTATAAGTATAGGAGTGGTTTGATTGAATTATTTCGTACTTTTGATGGTCGTGTTAGTTTTACAAGTGATACATGGACTTCTAGTTTTGGCGAACCTTTTCTTTGCATTACTGCTCATTGGGTGGATGATGATTGGTTTATTCAAAAACGTATACTATGTTTTCAAGCTATGGAAGAAAGGCATACCGGTTTTAACATCAAAGTTCGTATTTTGGATTGTTTAAAAGAATTTCACTTGAATAATAAAGTTTTTTCTTTGTCTCTTGATAATGCAACTGCAAACACAAAGTGTATTGACTATTTGAAAAATGACTCCGAGTTGAATTTGTTGTTGGGTGGTAGTCTCTTGCATGTTAGATGTTGTGCTCATATTTTGAATTTGTCTGTTCAAGAGGGTCTCGCTGAGTTGCAACCATTGCTAAACCCAATTAGAACAGTTATAAAATGGATTAGGATTACTCAGTCAGTTAGAAGAAAGTACATAGCTATGTGTAAAGAGAGAGGTCTTAAGAAAAGACAATGGTCTATTGATACCCCTACCCGTTGGAATTCTACTTTCAAGTTGTTGAGTGATGCTATAAAGTATCGTGATATTTTGACCCAACTTTACAATGAGACTCGTGTTGATCCTACTGAGTTAATAACCGAAAGTCATTGGACTAATGCTTCTTTTGTTCGTGATGTTTTAAATGCTTTTGATAGTGCAACTCATATTTTCTCTTATATTTATGAGCCTAACGTTCATTTAGTCATAATTGAGTGTGTTAAAGTTGTTCACACCATCGAAGAGCATATGAAGATTGATGGACTTCGTCCCGTTCTTGATAGCATGAAACGTAAGTGGCATACTTATTTTAGTGAATTTCCAATCATTTATGGAATTGCTGCTATTCTTGACCCCGGTGTCAAAGCTGAAGGTTTGGAAAATCTTTTAGAATTTTATTATACAAGTTTAAGTATCGATTATGATGTTAGTGAATATATTAACAAATGCAAATCTGTTTTGGGAGACCTTTATGATCATTATGCATCTATTTATGGTTTTGATTTGGCAACACCAACTACTACTAGCACTTCCGATTCTAGATTTGGTTTTCTTGATAAAGTTATGAAAAAAAAAACACAAAGCATCTACATCATTCTCATCATCATCTTCTTCAACACTTGCTATTAATGATTATTTGTCATATCAACATGAGACCAACAACAACTTTCAAATTATAAAATGGTGGCAAGAACATAAAAAAAGTTTTCCTATATTGGCGAGAATTGCAAAAGATATACTTGCAGTTCCCGCTTCATCTGTTGCTTCCGAGTCTGCTTTTAGTGCAGGTAGAAGAGTGTTAGATGAAAAAAGATCTCGCTTAACTCCGGAAAGCATTCAAATTTGTGTTTGTAAGAAAGATTGGGATCAAGCTGAAAGAAGAACTCAAGGTTTAAAGGAAGACGAAGACGATGAAGATGATCCTGTGATGATATTGGAGTCGTCAACGGATGATGCAGCTTCCGGGGATGATGATGCAACAAACATGGGTGGCTAGAAAAGTCTAAATCAGGTACGCTAAGAACTACGTGGGCTTTGATTCTTTCGGGATACGTAGGCAACTTATTTTTCGAAAATTACAATTTAATTGCAAAATTAAATTTTAGTTTTCTAAAGATAGGTCCAAGCCCCCCCCCCCAAATTTCAAAAGAAGTACAATATAAGAACTACGCTGGCTTTGATTCCTTATTTTATAATATAAGGATACGTAGGCATCTTAATTAAGAGCAAGCCATCAAATTGTTAATTTTGTAAAAATTAAAACACCACACAACCCACCCGACCCTAACCCACGAACCCACCCGACCCTAACCCACAAACCCACCCGACCCTAACCCACCTAACCCACAAACCCACCCGACCCTAACCCACTAACCCACCCGACCCTAACCCACCTAACCCACAAACCCACCCGACCCTAACCCACTAACCCACCCTTCGACCCACCCTAACTCACTAACCCACCTTGACCCGTCTAACCCACGAACCTAGCTCGACCCACCCATGACCCGTCTAACCCACAAACCCAGCTCGACCCACCCACGATCCGTCTAACCCACAAACCCAGCTCGACCCACCCACGACTCGTCTAACCCACGAACCTAACCCTGGTGTGTCCAACTTCTCCGACCCAACCCACGACCCGGCCCACCCTACCCTACGTGTGTCGTGCCGTGTGTCATGAAACCCCAACCCGCGACCCACCTAACCCTAACCCAGCTCGCACGACTCGCACGGTGGACACCTCTAACCACCACTGTGTATTTTGTGTTTGCTTCTTTCAACACCTTCTTTTACAATTACACGCTCTTTCCTCTTTCATCTCTCTCTTAACAAACCCCAGCTTTCTCTCTCCTCCCCTTTTTCTCTATTCTTTCTCTCATTTTTCGTAACAACAATTTTTCTTTTATTTTTTGTTTGAAAGAAATCCTTTTTTTTAAAAAAAAAAAATAAATTTGGTTTTATATTTGGAGAAGAAAGATTTTGGTTAGCAAAGTTATTTTTGCTTAAAAATCAAACAATCAAATGGCAACAATAACCGCATCATTAGAGCGATCACTTCAAAACTGCTCTTTAAACCAAACCACCAGAACTCGCCGAGGTGGCGGCGGAGGTGGCGGTGGTTTAGGGCGGTCATCGTCGTCTGATTCGCCGGAAATTATTCACAATCATAAAAATGACAACCGTGGTAGACGGCGTGGTAACGATCAATCTTTGGTAGGCGCGACGACGACGACAACAACAAGAACAACACAACAACAACACTGCTCAAACGCCGCATCTTCTTCAGATGAAAATTCAACATTCGTTGAACTTAACTCCCATGTTTCTCTCCCTTACCATTGGGAACAATGCCTTGATTTGAAGGTTCGTTTTTTTTTTTTGGGTTCATCTCTATTTTTGTGGGGTTGATAGGGATACTTTTGTGTAGTTAATTTTTGTATGATTCTTCTAATGTTTTCTTGTCAATAAATACCCTTTTATTAATTACTTCTATTGATTGATTTTACTACTTGCATTCAATGTTCATTCATTAGGAATTTTTCATTTTAGATTCTTTTGTTATGAAACCCTAATTCAATATTAAAATTGAAATTACAATAGAGTTTTAGATAGGTTGTAGTTGTTATTATAATTTTATTCTTTTTTTAATTTGCATGCATTGCTCCAAAAAAAAAAAAAAAAAAAAAAGGCTTATGAATTTTTATCTTGAAATGGCGCAAGAAACAATTGCAAATTTGGATGGCTTTTCATTTAGCTTTCTTCTATTTGGAGATAAAGTTTTAATCTTTATAAGTTTATTCACCAAATATTTCAAAAATTAAAAAATGGGTTTGTTGGGGTTGGTGGATAGAAGTCATATGTTTGTTATTTAATTTTCAGCAATGTCATACACAAATAAGCCTAATAGTATGAAATTTTTTATGTGTAATGACAGACAGGGGAGTTATATTACATAAATTGGAGTAATGGAATGAAAGCAAAGGAAGATCCAAGAACAACAGCAACAGGTTACAATGGTGATTACTACTCAGAAGGCGAGGAAGAGGATGAGGATGAGGATGAGGATGAAGATGTGGACGAGGATGAAGAAGAGGAGAGCAACTGCTATGATAGTGAGAGTTCATCAACCGAATCATCTCCGTGTTCGAGTAATCGAAAAGGGAGTTTCCGATCACTCAAGAAACAACAACAACAACAACAACAACAAGAGCCAGAATTGAACCAAGAATCAGTATTAGTAGTGGCAGGTTGCAAGAGTTGCTTAATGTACTACATGGTGCCTAAACATGAAGAAGACTGCCCCAAATGTTCTGGTCAGCTTCTTCACTTTGCTGCCAATAATTCCTCCCCTTAGAATTTTAATATCAAATTAAACCGACATTATTATTATCATCATTATTATTATAAACCAACTCCATTTTTCTAAAGTCTATATAATCTTTTTTTTAGTTATAATCCTAGAAATGGAGGAGGAAAGTGTATTTTTTTTTTAATTTTTAGTTTGTTAATTAAGGTGAATTGATGGTAGATAGAAGAAAGAGAAGAAAGAGTTGAGAGGGGTGGATGAATGGTTGATTCTTGATTGTGACATTCTGTAGCTTTGTTCTCTTTGTTCTTTCTCTTATCTCCCATGCTCACATAAATATTATATTTTCGGTTTTCTTTTATTTTGTCTACTACTCCCTCTTTTTCTTTAATTTGTCTCATTTTATATATTTTTGCCTCCATAAATTATGCAAGATTATCTAATTAAGAAAATTATATCCATGATTTATGAGTTAGTCATTGACTATGGATTAGTTATTTAATATGTTTATGCCTTTGACATTTAATATATTGAGTGATTGAATGTCAAAAAACTACAAAGTGTTAAAACAAATGATTGATTGTGTTCTGGTACATGCATATTGGCATATTGCATATGTATACAAACATGCTTCTTGATGACTGCAATTTTTTAAATTTTATGTCATTTATTGGTCTTTCATGTTATAGTGTTCTCAATGAGCTGTACTATTTAACAAAGATGCTTAATTCTTACTCCTTTGATTATTACTTAAATACTTCATGTGAGCTACTAGAATTCAATATAATATGGACCATATATTGATCACAATACATACAGATTTACACCGAATTTAAGTTATTTATATTTGAGAATAAATGTTATTTTATATATTAATAATATAATATATACTTACATAATTTACTCAAAAAAAAATATATACTTACATAATTAAATTTTCACTTTCAGCCGTGTACTCCACGGGATAAAAACTAGTTCAATTCACAACCCAAGAAAAATACATACAAAAAAAAAATAAAAAATAAAATCACCTGGGAAGATCACAGCCGTCAGGCTTCCATCGCCATTTCATATAATCAAAATCAGGCCGTCCATTACTCTGACAATCATAAGCTTCATCAACAAAAGGACAAGAACCCGGCTGATAAACTGGGTACCCATCATCTTTAACCCATTTACCCATAAACAAATTACAATCTTTACCCGAATTCTTCACCATTACTACTTCTTCTTGACCCGACCCATTTTCACCAACAGATCCATTAACAAAACCCATGTTTTCATTTTTGGCAATCGGGTCAAAATCATTCTCAATTTTCCCAATTTCGTCAACAATGGTATGATTAAATTGAAGCGGCGTGGATTCAGGAGGTGGTGTGAGAGGCGGCAATGCGGTTGTGTTAGCGGCGGTGAAGTTGAGATCTGGGTTAATGGAGAGAGAAGAGAAGAAGTTGAGGGAGTTTTGGCTGGTAAGAAGTACGAGGAGTACGAGGAAGAAAGAGATTAGGAGAAGAATGGAGGTGAATGTGAAAAGGTTGAAATGTTTCTTGTGAAGTGGTTGTAATGTATCTCTATCTCCCATTTTGGGAGTTTGGAGATTGTGACTAGTGATTACACTTTGTTAATGTTTAAGATATAAACCAGCTTTTTTTACAAAACTGGTTTCTCTATGTTTCTGTTTGTGGATACACGATAGTAGAGGTGTTTAAATTTCACCTGATCCGATGTGTACCCGACTTAAAAAATATCTGATTTGCATTCGACTTGTATGGACACAATAAGTTAACATAATTCAAGTTCAAAAATAAACCCGATCCGAACACCCCAATTGAAACCTCTACTGGATAGTGGTAATTGGTAAACGGGTCTTTTACTCTTGTAGTTCCATTTTCAATTTGTGGCTTACGATCTAGGGGTGTTTGGTTCATTAAATTAGAATGGATTGATATAGAATTTCATACTAGAAAGATATGTATTCTAAAACTCATATTAATCTGAAATTGTTTGGTTTTATTTTTGGAATGGGTTCTATAAGAGGTGGGTATGGGGTAGAGTTAGAATCCCTTTGGGTACGAGATTCCATAATTAAATAAACTCAGCCAAACAAAAAAAAATAGATGGAATAAATTCTATATCCATTCCAAATCATTCAACCAAACGACCCCTAAATTGATTTAAGGGTTGTTTGGTTTGTTAAAGTGGAATGGATTAGTACGAGATTTTATTTAAGGGAGGTATGGATTCTAAACCCCATACTAGTATAAAGTTGTTTGGTTTATTTTTTAGAATGATTTTTACATTTCATTTAAGAAATGTGTAATACCCCCAAATCTCTTTCTACGGAAATACTAGTATAATACGTATAATTATACCGTAGAGATAGACTTAGGCGTATTACCGCCGCGTGATTACGCAAGGCTACTCAAACTACTAATTAAGAATCACAACTTCGCAGCGGAAATTCAAACTCTTTCTTTATTAATACTTATAAAATAGTAACCATTGTTATGAGTACTCAAAAAGAAAATAAAACCAACATCCCTAAAACTAGGAGAAAAAATCTCGGGACTCCCAAATGCTCATTTATTGACTCCACCTGAAAACAGTCAACACTGCTTACCATTAAGGTAAACAGCGAGAACCAAAACCAAAACAAATATGAATTAGCAAAATATGCCAAGTACATTCAAGTGCAAGATAAGTAAACTCAATTTATTATCAAACATGCTTTTAAAACCAATCATGAAATTCCAATATTTATTTTAATAACTCAAACCTCAAAATTCAAAACTAATTCTCAAGATTCTCAAAATAATTCTAATACTCAATAATAATTTAAATAATAATTCAATTGATAAAATCAATTTATCTTTTCAAAAACTCAATTCTTCTTTTCAAAAACTCAATTCCTCTCCTAAGTGTGCACACCCCCCAAGCTAATATTTTTATATTGAAAGGCTATCCTTGAGGAAACACTAGGTCATACAAAGTCCATTCTTAAATGAATCCGCATAGTGGGATTAATATAATCATGCTTGTAAAGCTTTAATAATAATTCAATAATTCAATCCTTTATAATAAATCAACTCAAAACTCCTTTTTATTCAATTCAATCATGCTTTCAAAATCAACCCTTTTAAATGATAAATAATTCCATCATTCAAAATATGATATTAAAATCAATCCTTCAAATTATTTATTAAAACATACATCTCTTCCAAACATACTTTATTTCATAATTCAAATCAATTAATTTAATCATCATAAAAATCATACAAAAATTCTATTCAAACCAATCACTTTCAAAGGTATCTAGCCACCTAATACCTTGATCCTCGCTTAGCAAATACACAAAGAACCTCAAGAACTCTTGTCAAAAACACCCTACAATTAAATATAACATTAATCAATATAAGGTCATCAAATAATCACAACAATTAAAATAAAACCCCCAATTATATGTACATGAACCTTTTAAAATTCCTTTTCATAAACTTGAATAGTAAACTGACTTTATTTAATTAAAAACTCTCATAATAATTTTTAAAAAACCCCATAATAATAATAATAATAATAATAATAATAATAATAATAATAAAAATAAAAATAATAAAATTAATTAGGAGAAGAGTTGAAGAAATAAAAAACCGAAGAATAGGAAGAAGGAGAGGAACGACAAGGGGCAGCAGCACGCCGGTAGGTGGCTGCTGCTGGTGGTCGGCGTCAGGGCTGGCCGGAGAAAGGTGGTAGTCGGCGGTGGAGGTGGTGGCTGACGGTGAAGGTGGTGATTTGTGGTGTTGGTTGGCGCAAGAAAGAAAGAAAATGAGAAGAGAATTAGAGAAAAATTAGAGAGAAAGAAGAGAGCTTTGGTGTGAGTTTTTAGTTATGATTCAAGGGGTATATATAGGCTAGCTCATGTAAGAATTAAGGTAATAAAATGTAGGAATAATTATGGCAAATTTGGTTTAAGGAATTACTTGGAAAAGTGAGCTAAAGAATTTAGGAAATTTTAATTTTATGGTGATTAAGCAATCAAGAAGTATGGTAAGTATGTGGATCATGAAACATAATATGGTAAATGGCTTTGCTTGGGGAATAATCAAGAATGGTTTAAGTTAAATAAATAATATGATCAAATATTTGGGATATGGAAAATAAGAATTAAGGAAACAATAGAATTTAAGGAAGATAATTAAAATACAAGAATTACCAAAATAAATTGCTCAAAAATCTTCCAAGGTGGCCGAAAATTTTGAGCTTTCCTAAGCTCTTATTTTCGGCCCTCTTCATTAGATTTTAGGAATTATTTTGCTAGATTTTAAGGATTAAAAATGACTGTGTAAATAATATATTTTATATAAAATAATTAAATAGAAAAATACCAATTATTCACTAATTAATTTAACTAAGAAAATCAGATTTTCTTTACTAAGAAAATCTGAAAATTTCCAGCAAATTAATTAGTTAATTGGGCCCTTTTAATTAAATAAGAAAATATAATTTTTGCTTAATTAAAATATCCTAAATAATATATATATATATATATATATATAATCCGATTTTTAAATAAAATAAATGGATAATAAATCTTATCCAAAATCCAAAAATAATTATTAAGTGTTTAATTGTTTTAGGCGCCAAAATTCAAATATCATTTTGGCTCCAAAATTTAAATAGTAAAGTAAATTACTAGAATACCCTTTTTAGAAAATACAAGTTAATTAATTAATTAGAAAATACGTCTTAAAAATATAGGGTATTAAAAAATAAATTGTGAATGTTAAGAGATGAGGTGGGTGAACCCGATTGGTTGGAGATTCCATACCTAGTTAAAATGTTTAACCAAATAATAAAATAGATGGAATGAAATCTAACTCCATTCCAAAAGCTCCAACCAAACGACCTCTACTGCAATCAGTCAAAGGTTGTCAAATCGGATAACCGATTCGAAAAATTTATACTAAGGAAAACCTGATTAAAAATCATCAAATATTCAATTTGAAATATTTACTATTAAATCTTGAATCAACTATCCTAATTTTCGTATTGGATCAACCAAAACATGGATTGAACTTACTTAGTATGAAGGTAATGGGCCTGGAAAAAAAAGGGTTATTATCATAGGCTGATAGGCATAAGTGCATAACCTGTATGCTTGCTTGGAATGTGGATATATTTTGGGCCCGTGCTTTTTACCCCCTATTTGAAGGTAATATCCGTGCCCCCTCTACGATAACTATTACCCGTTTATATTTCACCTCATTCTATCTCCACTCTCTAGGCCACCACCATCTAAGTACTTCTCTACCACCGTATTTTCTCACCACCATAATCTTTTGCCGCCACCCTAACTCGCATCGTCGTCAATTTTTTTACCGTTGATCTCTTACCATCAGTGTTACAGCCACTTTGGTCGACCAAGGCAAGAGCGTCGACCATCCAGCATAGGTGCGTAAGGCCTTCAGAATCCCGCTTGCCCGCACAAGCAAGTGGATGCTCGGTCCTAGGGAACGAGCCAAGTGAGGCTAAAGCAACTCACACTGATGTCTAAGGCTTGTGAGATTATGTGGAATGACCCCATGTGCTTAAACCTTGGGGCTAGCAAGTGCTTAGTGATAAGTGGTTTATTTGACCACTTATTGTGTAAATTTAAACCCGATTTTGCGATCATTTCCCCCCTTTCTAACCCAATTTTGAATGAAAATGTTTTTTTTCTCGGCTTTCCCCCCCCCCCTCTTGGTTTGTGTTTGTCCATGTTTTGCAGGTCTATGAGCTCAATTAGGCAGGCTTTCGGTGCATGAATCGTGTTTAAGACAAGAGGATTGAAGATTGGAGAGGGCGCTCCAGGGGAGCGGGCGTGCCCCTCTCATGGAGCGGGCGCTCCTCGACTCTAGCTACATTCTGCCCAAGTTCAGGTGCTGTTAGGAGCGGGCGTGCACCTCTCATGGAGCGGGCGCTCCTCCCTTTGAAGATTGAATCTGCCCATGCTGCTGGAACAGGGGAGCGGGCGTGCATCATGTGAGGAGCGGGCGCTCCTCCCTGACACTTTCAAATCTGATCCTTCATTGAAGCATTCTGGAGAGGGCGTGCAGCCGAAAGGAGCGGGCGCTCCCAGCTTAGGAGCGGGCGCTCCTCATTGTGGAGCGGGCGCTCCTCGCTGGGAATCCGTTTTCTTTTGACGGATTTCCCTATGTGTTTCGGGGAGTATAAATACTTCCCCTTTAGCTCATTTAAAAAAGGGGGACAGTAGCCTAGTTTTCAGAAACCTCTCTTAGTTTGAAACATTCCTTAGGATTAATTTAGCTTAATTTCATCAAATCAAATCATTGTATTAGTGAAATTCAAGAATTATTCTCAAAGTTTGGCAATTTGTATTCAACATTTGAAGCTTCAATTAGTAATTTCTCCAACCTTCTTCCTTTTAATTTCAGATTTTATTTGGTATTTGCATGTTATTTAATTCTTCCTAGTTCTTGGTAATTTGTTATTGGATGATAGTTATTTCAATTGTTAACCACTTTTCCCCAAATATTGAAGTATTTAGAACCCTAATTCTTGATTGCATGTTGATAAACATGAGTTGTGAGTAGTCTTCTTGCTAGGGGTTGGGTGAAGCTCGACCTTTTGGGTTAACTATGCAAATGTGGGAGAAGCATTGATGTTTGAATTGCAATTAAATTGATTATATGAGATTGCTTGTTAGTTCCTCATGATAGGTTTAGCTACCCTTGACTAAGGA